TACCCAAAAGCCGGACATGTCCGGGAAAAAACAGACGTATGGTAACCCTAGATAATACCAACCCTTCAACTCACAACTTTATTGTGAAAATAAATTAATTACTATTTGTGAGGCACTCAGATACTATAGCGATTAGTGCCCACCTAGAAAAGAATATGAGGAAATTAATTCTGTCTTCAGAGCAGAGTTTTAATAGTACACAGTAATTAAGGCCTGGGGCCACAAACTGAACAATGATTTTCAAAGCTTTCTAATGGGAAACCTGTTATTTTAGTCGTAATTTGCCTCACTAATTTGTCTAGCTTCTTGCCCAATTATTTTCCCTACACTGAAGACACTTAATTTTTTAACGATTTACTCTTTTATGCAATTAGATATAGTCATTAGGATTTTATATTACTTCTCAGTTTTCCTTTAAGGGTACAGTGTGATATTTTTACAGGTCTCTTTGAAGGAACCACAGCATTCAGTCAGTAACTTGGTCTACAGCTAGTATGGGGATTTTAATTTGGCAACTAATTTCTGCCTCATCTGGTTTGATTCTTCATAGTTATGTTTTCCTGCATCCAGATACACACTGACTTGTCAATGATGCAGCTCTCTTAAAGTCCTTTTCATAGCCTCCCCATACCAGAGATGGTTCCTAAGCAGGACATGGGATAGATTTTCTTGAAGTTTTTCCTCCACGTATCAGTTACAGTGGAGCAAATACTTGCCCACAACTTTAATGAAGCTATAGCGATAGCCATATTGCTTCAGGTCTTATTAATCAGGAACACCTAGTTCCCACCCTGCATCTGCATTAGGTGTATATTCTGCATGTCTGGGATGATTTCTCAGGCCTTCTGCATGATATATATAGACTGCTGGCTACATCTACGCAGTCATTGCCAGCTGTAGGAGGTGTTAAAGCAAAACTATGTTAGACAGTTTAATGAAGTAACCTCAATTGAAATTAATACCTGGAGGCACCACAGCAGAACTTTCTAGTCTGCTTCCTCAAGAATAAATCAAACATCAAATAAAATATCCAGGTTTTGTAGGCCAGAGCACTGAATGATGCAAGTCTGAGCACAGCCCTCAAGCACACTGCAAGAAAGCCCTTTTTTCTGACATGCTTGAAATATAGGTGGCCCAAAGTGATCTCTAGTCCAGACTTATTTGTTCTCTAATAATAATTGCCATGGCTATATCCAGAACATGTGCAGACTGTTCCAATACTTCTTTTCACTCTCTTCTTCTGCTCCTCAGTTCCTGCTACTCTTTGATCCATCTTTGCCCATTTTGTTAGGGTTTATGTATCATCCCTTGGGTGCTACAAAAGCCACTGTCTGATGCATCCTACCGTCTCCTGTTAGGCACAATCAATCTACCCCCTCCGCACAATGGCTAGCACTACCATCAGTGCTAATTCAACACATCCATAGGCAGCTGCTTCTATCAATAGGAAAGGTGAACCAATGTAATCAACAGCAATGCCAGCACAGGCTGACAAAGATGCTTTTAAAATGCAATTATTGGCAACTAACTAGCTGCAACTTTAACAAAACTGGCAGTGCCAGCTGAAAAGTAGCCAGGTAGCATTTGCCTGGAAGAGAGAAAAGGTGGGGAGAAAGGTGGAGTGGGGTAGGGAGCAGAGAAGATTTCTGGGTAAACTCTCGCACTTTCTCACACATTTTTCATAGCTGATATAAAGCCAATTTCCTGCATATTTGATAGTGCCATTATTTTTAGTGGAATGTCCATTCAAAACAAATGGGACAGAGGAACGTAGTAGGTAGATCCACCCACATTCTAAAAATCACATCCATTCCAGACAGATCTGTCATAAATGTGCAATATTCAATGGGTGTAATCCCTTTATAATTACCCTTACAGATGGTCCTGTGGAAAGGAAAAGGATGTGATTGTGTCTAACGCATAAGACTAAGAGTCAGGAGGATCTGGGTTCTATTACAAGGTCTTTCACTGACTTGCTGTGTGGAGTTGGACAAGTTATTTGTAATGCTTTGGGGAAGTAAATCCACACACAAATCTTTAACTCTGTAGTAGCAGAGCTCCAGCACTCAGCCCTACTTGCTAAAGGTTCATACCCTAAAATAACTTCCAGACATTCTGCAATTCTCAGAAAAAAATATGGTCGTCTTAAAAGGCCACATCATTACATCTGTTAACTTCAGTTCCCTCCCCACCCCCTGTAAAATTGGAGAACAATATTGCCCTGATGGATGTTGTGAAGCTTAATTCATTAATATCTGTGTTTTGCAATCCTCGGACAGAATGTGTTATAGAAGTGCAAAATATTACTATTGTTGTTTCTTTTATGCCACTCAAAATATTTGGTTCTAAATACCAGGGTTGTGAGGTTTCCATTGTTATTCGGGTAGATGACCAGGATTAGGTAAAATAAGAATAGACCCCAGAATAGAACCTTATTTTCATACCAGAAAACAAAGCATCATTTTGTAAAAAATAGTTAAATTTTTCAACATTTCTCTGCAATTTCCTGGTTCCATCTTGAATGATAAGTACCAAAATATCACGTGAAATGGATATTCTTGCAGTAATTCTGATTTGGCAGGAAAGAAGAGCCATTGGCAATTTGGCAAAATAGCCTGTAGTCACAAGATTTCTAGCCATATGTTCCAGACCAAACTGATTCTGATAAGTTTTATGAGGAAAAACTTCCAAATTCTTGCTTGGATTTTTATCCAACCTTCCATATCTTTGACACTAACCGTTACACAGCATGCAAGTGTGGAATTTAACTGAGAGCTGTTTTAAACTACATAATTCATATTTTTTACAAAGTTCCCTGTATCAAGTAGGTCAAATTCGGCCTTCAGTTACACCACTGATGGTGGGGTTTTGTTCTGTTTCAAACTTGATGGCGTGTCTACTTTGTAAAAACAACAGGGGAATCAGTTACATGATTGTCCTCAATGTATTTTAAGCATGATTTAGTTTTGCAGTGTAAATTAGACTTAACTATGCCTCTGAAAAGTACTACAGCCAAAAGAATGGTTCAATGTCTGTCATTTTGGCTATAGGCTGCAGCATGATTCACAGGCTGGGTTAGAACATAGTTAGGTCCCTTCTACACTGCGATAACAAATTGTGCTTTTATTGTGACTGGGCACAACAGGCTGTAAGCAGTCCCCATGGCACAGTTTGTTTTTACAGGGGCAGGTTCTGTACCATAAGTAGTTTCTGCTCCTCACAGCAGAGTGTGGGAGACTTTCAAGAAGCCAGTTGTTTCTCTTCTCCAGCCCTGATCCTGGCCCAAGTTTGAGAAGCACAACCTGGGGGCTACTGCAAATTGGGAACATAAATCAGCTGGGGATTGTTAAAAGGCCACTCCTTTGTTACCCCCCATAAAGTTCCCTGCAGGGAGAGAAGAGTAGGACTTGGCTCTTCCTATTCTATGCCCCCCTGCTGACTTCTCCATACTGAGGGCATCCTCAGCAGGTGAGTTACGGGAGGCTTCTGCTCCAGATGCTGATTAGGGCAGAGAATCTGCCCCATAGTGTGGATCACAGACAAGATACCTGATGGTCTTTTAATCAAGGTCATGTTTATTCCCTATAATGCACTATGAAAATAACAGCCAAAGAATATGCCTCCAAAAAATCGGCGAGAAATGGAGAATTTATCCAAGGCCCTAATTATTAACAGAAAACGTGACTGTCTTTATAGGGGAGACCACTGAACATTTTAAAAAAAAACATGGAAACTAAATGGAAAATCTCCATCTGCCTCTAAGAGTTCCCTTTATAGTGGCACGGGAGGGCAATTACCGGCAAAATGACAGACACTGACCTCTAGCCTGGCCTCCAGGGCCCCAATGTGCTGTTGTCTCCCCCTGTGTTCCAACTGCAGCTTTTCAATGAATGCACTGTTGTTGGCCTCTTCAGAGAGGAGCTGTTTGAGGATAAGGAAGATTCTTTGTGAGTGTGGGGGGAAAATAGTCCAACAAAGAGACTGTAAAGGCATAATTAGCTTCTTTATATACCATCTCCAGCATGCTGCCAAATCTTCTTGCTGTCGCACTACAGCAAAACAATAGCCTTTTTTCAGTTCAACCTGCAGCATTGCCCAGTCCCATACCTGCAGCTACTGCTTAGTTGCTGTACTCTGAACAGCACCTTCATATTATTATGAAGGGGAAAAGACCACCACTACCCTAACACTTATTATCAGATATGCACATACAAAAATATGTTATGGTATTGCCAAAACTCAGGACATTATCAGTATGTATTTCTATTACATCTGAAGTGCCCAATCAGATCAGGGCTTCATTGTGCTGAATGCTGCAGACATTCAAAATAAGGGACAGTCTATGCCCTAAAGAGTTTAATTCAATGTTAAGGCTGAAATTCTGCCTTTCCCCTCTCTGGTATTCCTAGATAGGAGCAAGGGAGATAAAAAGGGGGGCATTATAACCCACAAGTGTTCCTTTTCCTAGGAATGAAAGGATGAGAGCTACTCAGGCACCACTAAAATTCCAGCCATGCTGCAGTACTTGTTTTGTTTTTTTTAATTATTTTTAAATAGGAGTTCAATGGCATTCACCCAGCAGGGCAAGATATTCTCTACAGGCCAGGTGGAATTTTATGAGTCTCAGACTGTACATTTTGGGGTGGGGGAGAAATAAAATTAAGATTTGATATAAAACTGCAAAAGAAAATTATAAAGTGAATGTTTCCTGATCTGTAGGAGGATAATTAACAGATCTGACTTAACTCACAGATTTATTCGGTGATTATACCTTTCAGTATTGATACATTGCTGCTGAATTTTTACTTTTTGAGTGTTTTGGGTTTTTTTTATATTATATGAAATCTGGGGGGGGACACAGTTTCTTCTCATAACATCTCATGGCATAGACCTCTTATAATGTTTCATCCTACCATAGACATCACCACTGTTTCATCGGGGATGTGTTATCCCTATTTGATCCTCAGTTAGGGTGAAATTCTCCCATGTGTGGAAAGTCAGCAAAAGACCTAGGCAGAGCCTAAATTCTCAAAGAGTGGGAAATAAGTGGTGACTAGACTCTCTGATGGGGTGAATATAGGGTTGCCAATTTTGGTTGGATGTATTGCTGGAGGTTTCATCACATGACATAATCTTTATTTAAAGATTAATCTTTAATTCCTGGAGATTCCAGGAGAATCCTGGAGGGCTGGCAATTCTAGGTGAATTTCATCTTTTGGTTTCGTCTCCAAATTTCACATGCATTGAGATATGATTCTGAATGCAACCAAACTTTGCTGTCAAAGTGTCACATAAACAGTGGGGGATGAGACAAAAAATGTCTTATTCTCATAAAGTCTCATACACTCATGACTTGATACATTACCTTATATATATATATATATATATACACACACACACACACACACACACACATACAAGGTAATATATATATATAGTAACAGAACAACATATTTGTAATATATATATAGTAACAGAACAACATATTTGTAATAAACCACTTTGTAAAGCACTTTGGGTCCTTTGGCATGAAAAGCACTTGGTAAATGGAAGATAACCATACATAGTATTCAGAAAGTATCCTTTATGGGTGTGGTTACTGTATTATCTGTCTACATGCATCTGAAGAAGTGGGCTGTAGCCCACGAAAGCTTATGCTCAAATAAATGTGTTAGTTTCTAAGGTGCCACAAGTACTCCTGTTCTTTTTGTATTATCTGAGGACACTCATTCATTGCTTCTCATTTAATTATGAATCGTGCGAGCCCAACAACTACATTTCATTGTTTCCAAAACAGCTCTAATCTCCATACACAGGACAGGCTTTAATACCAGCCCTAATCATTGTTACCACAGGGCAAATCTTCACAATGAGGTGAAATGCAAATGATTTGGCTGTTGTAAACAAAACACACTGGCAAGGTTTTCCAGAACTTCAGTTGCATAATGTTAATGGAGTACTCATGATCTTAATTTAAAAAATAATCCCTTGAAAATTAATTGCCACTAGGCATTAATCATCACTATGTTAATTAAGCATTTAAGCCAATTAAGCCCAAGGTGAAGTTGAGGGCAATAAACTCCATAAATGTTTAGTATAAAGTCTTAGTAGTGCAATATTTTTTTTTAAAAAAGCTTTCTTTTTGGGAGACTGGATGGCTCAAGAGATTGCTAATTACAGAACTAATCCACTGTTCAAATCCAGCCCAGGTCAGCAGTAATCACATGACTTTTGTGTGTCCTTTGAGTTGTTGATCTAGAACTTGCTAGAGACATCAAAAATTACCACTCAGTGTCTAACCTCTTTTTTCTAAGCAAGCTATTTGGAAAACAAGCATAACAAAAATCTCCAGCATTGCTTGTCTGTTACCAACACCACAGATGCCTCAGGGCATGGTACAATGAAAGTACTTGCTGCTCTGGTGGCTGACTTCCACCTCTCTACAAACAAACAAAGTGTAGCAGGGCTCACCCTGCTGGTGCTCTGCAGCATTTGATCACCAGATACTCCTGTCCCACCTCCAAATGCTTGCTGGGGTGAACACAAATGGCCAAGGTCCTTCCTCTCTGACAGAGCCCAGAGAGTCATTATGGGTTACTGTTTCCACACCTCCGAAGTCCTTACTTGCAAAGTCGCGCGAGGCTCAGTCCTCTTCCCCGTATTATTTGATCTCTACAGTGGTCCTGATGGCTCATAATGAGAATGCACAACAAGCTGATGTTCCGGCAGCCTTCAGACAACACCAAGCTCTTCATCTCCTTTACATCAAATCAACAGCACCATCTCCCAGCTTTCTCAAAGCCTAACCAAAATAAGCAACGGGGTGACGAGCACCTGGCTAAAGCTGCACCCTGGCAGGCAAGACCGAAGTGAGGTTGGAAGGATGACAGAAGTGTCCACACCCTCTGAGCTTTAGGATTGTACAAGCCCCAAAACTTGAAGTAAAGCTCAGCCCAAAGTGTCAAGTTTTCCTTTGTTTTGAGTTGAAACCAAGGTTTTGATCTGAACTGTTTACTTGGGTCAGGCTTGCAGAAAACTATTCAATTTATCTAATGTGTTATATCTGTAGAGGACCCACCATTGATATCTAACTTAAGTTTGCCAGCACACTTGTAAATCTAACCTAAGTTTTGGTTTTACCACATCTTGCACTTTGGAAGCCTTCAATTTTACCACCGTCTAACCTTTCCTATCCCAGACACTGTTATTTCAGAGCATCTGTGCTTCTTACGTTATTGCAATACCACTGGGTCTAATGTAACAGGCCGGGGTGCTGGTAGAGTCCCATTTTCCTTTCAAATCAAAATTAAAAGGGCTGGGAACTATGGTTATAAGCAGCAAATTTGGATCTGAACATTCCCATTCAAGTCCAGAAATTGGGTGTAGGAACAATGAACCAATCAAGTGCTTTATACTATATTAGAGGAAGAGCTTTACGAGTCATGCTTTATTGGGTATCATCATTGCTTTGTATTTCTTAATTCTTGCCATCAGGAGCACTGATTGCAAGGCAAGCTATATGGGGCAGGTAGGCGGGTGAGTATGTAGTTAAAAAGACCTTAGAACTCATAGGATGTTAATGAGTGGCCTATTATTCCGTGACTAATGGATAGCTGCGAGTTGGAACACATATAGGTATGAACATAAGTCTTTGTAATAGTTTTAATTAATTTTTAAGAATGCAGGATTGTCTTGTCTAAAGCCAAAAACATAAATACTTTCATTAATTAGTGTTTATAATGCAACGTATCTCTGAGTTCTGCTGCAGTAATTGGAATCTTCCTACAAAATGTCCTTGTAAACAGCAATACTATTTCAAGGCAAGGTTTCTGGTTTATTTTTTGGCCTGGTAAAGAATGTTTTTTCTAGACTGGCTGGCTGTTTTTTCACTTAAGTATAAAATAGGAATAATGATGTAGGCTTGACTACGCATTTAAATGGAATAATTTGCAATAATGCTCCAAAATGCCACTGGGATAGAAGTCAAAGGACTGTTTGCAAAAACAATTGCTTCTTTTTTTAAAATTAATTTCTGAAAAATAAATGCAGCAAGTTGCTAGATGGCTCAAGGGATTGATAAGGGGATAGAGAGCCTTTCATCTCTAAGTTAGTATTTCAAATATAGCCTGGATTGGTAGTGAGTGAAAGTTGTTACTATGGCAGGGTTGATCTGTGGCCTTTGTAAAATGTAAACATGATAATCCTCATCTAATGGGAGAAGTCTTCCTTTTTCTACAAAATCTGATTTTTTTTTAAATAATTCCATTGCTGAGAAAATATAATATATTGTACATATCCAGTCTTTTGTTCAGGGACACTCCAAACAAAAACAGCCTCCTCAGTTTTAGTCATAACTGGAAATAGCAGCTGTTTCTCTGCGTATGTTTCTGCTGTGGTCATCTGGTGCAGATGTACATACATGAAAGTAAATAGACAGGCTGGTCTTACTGGCTTCTGCTATATCAGAAACAAGACAAAAGATATTTTACCCAATATGAATGGGACCAGAAAAGAAGAGAAATATTTTGAATAAGGATGAATCTACTGGTTCAGCCACATTAAGAACTGCTTGGGGTTTAAGATAAAATCAGAATTTCTCTTAGCTCTCTGCCTTCACAGATTTATAAAGATGGATTAACAAGCTCTCCATTTTTAGTTTTGACATATTTGAATTCATTTTTCTCTCTGAGGGCTTGTCTAGACGAACAGTTTGTGTGTGGCAAACGAGAGTGTGAATCTACCATGCACTAACCTGCTGTGCCCTAAATGGCCGGGTGGACCCTGCTACTATGTGCTACAAGTTCCCCCATGCACACTGACATACTCCCCCTTCAAAGCAAGCTAGATCAAAATATAGTAAGCAATTTTTAGTGCATGGTAGCAGGGTCAGCACGGACAGTTAATGAGCAGCAGGCTAGTGC